GCGTCGAGTTGAAAGCTATCTCAACCGGATAATCATTGGTATAATCTGTAACACATCGCGGCGATGCAACAATACCATCTCATTGTCCCACCTGACGCGGCGAGATTCCAGTTTCAGCTCTTTACTCGTCACCACAAACACACAATGTCACAGTCCATTCCGTGGTCTATTGGCTTATACTGATTTATTTTCTCATAGCTTTTTTTACACAAACGATGCCCGACGGACTGGTCTATTCCAGCCAAATTTTGAAACATCCTAACTGCCGCAACAGCTGGCAACTATAGGTCATCTATCAAACACTGACCCATCTAATCAACTCTCAGGACTCTTGGGCCGCGCTTCTTTGTGGCCTTCTTCTTCTTGTGACCGCGCTCGAAAGCGGCGGCTGCGCCGTGGTCACGGCCGACGTTGTCGAGGTCCTTGACCTTGTAGATACGGATGATCCAGTTCTCACTGGTGAAGGCCTCCTCAACCGTGTTCAGGACCGGGCCCTGGTCGGGGAGTCTGACACCACGGACACGGTCCGCAGCCTGTCCGGGAGGGAACAGGGTGTTGTAGTTGTAGTAGGACATCTTGTACCTGGTAATTGTTAGTCATCAATGATACGTCGAGCGGGGGCAGAATAGAATCTCACATCAAGCTGTTCTTCATGGTGTCAGTGGCGCCCTCGTCAACACGGTACTCGCCACGGGGAGTGAAGAAGTCTCGCTCCTTGACTTCGTCCGGCCAGATACCCTCGGCAATACGGACCATCCAGAGGAACTTGTTAATGTCGTCTCCAGAGTAGCCAAGAAGACCACCAAAGACGACCAAAACGTAGTCAACCTCGTGCTGACGCATGATGGGGTAGCTGACCTCCTCACGAGAGCTCATGGCCTTGCCGACAGTGGCAATGTGAGTGTTGTTCCAGGTGTTGTTGTCGACCAAGGTCGGGCGGTCAGCCATGCCACCAATTTGGTAGCCGTAGTCCCACCACGACATGATCTTGGCATCCTCCTTGGTGTTCTGGCGCAGCCACTGGTATGCCTCACGGTAGTCGTCAATAATGTGCTGGCTGCCATCAGGCATCTTGCTGGCGAGAACGACGGAAGGGCTGGAGTAGGCGTTGGATGTGACCCAAGTACAGTGGAGAACAAAGAGCAGGAGGTAGAGAGTCATGCATGCGGCGACAACAGCCTTGGAGGCGACGCTGTAGATGCCAATGTAAGGAGCGGACGCGATGCGCAGACCACCCTTGTTCTTCTTGGCGTTGGTCTCGGCGGCTTCCTCGGCAGCGACTTCGTCGACAGGCTCCGGAGAGTCGGCCACCAGGTAGGTATCGAGCAGCTGAGACACGGCCATGGCGGCGGCAACACAAACAACGGGAGTGAGCGTAAGCATCAAGCGCACCATGACTCCAGCAAAGTAACTTCCGAACACGGCGTAAACCACGATGAAGACGTGCTGGTCCTCAAGCTTCTGGAAGCAGAGGTAGACACCGGCGGGGAATAGCCAGATGAGCATGTTCAAGTCGAAGAAGAAAGCAGGCCAGGCAGTAGGCTGGTGCTCAGAAACCGAGGCAATAATGGGAATGTGAATCTTGGCATAGCCAGTATCCCAGAGAGAGTAGAATCGACCAGACCAGGGGGCAATGTAGCCAGCCTGAGTCAGGCCAAAGATGCCAACGGTACCGATAACGAAGAGACCAGCGGCAGAAGCCCACAGGAACGCATTGAACTGGCTCTTGGGCACTGCGGATCTGAGGTACATGAGGAAACCCAAGACTTGGACAAATCCAAAAACACCTGGACATTATTAGCATAGCGCGCAATATTACCACAACTGGAAGAACTTACCCAAGGCTGGCATGTGCTCACTGGTGCGGACGGGCGCGAAACCGACGAATGGAATCTGCATAGCGGCAATTGTGCCGAGAGCATACCAGGTGGTGTACGCAACATAAAGTCTGCTGCTGTATCTACCCATGCAGATCAAGACGAACGAGTGGAGGGGCACCAGACAAGTGATGAAGGCGTAGCCACCCCACGAAGCGACCATGTATCCGTAGAAGAGAGCGCACAGCGCACCCCACATGACGGAGCCCAGCTTGAGGGCCTTGATCCACAAGTAGAAGGTGAAGACCAGAAGGAAGATGGCAATGGCTTCGTTATCGTACGAGCCGGCGACGGATCGAGAGATGTAACCGGGGGCAATGCCCATGAAGACGGCGGCGAGGAGGCCGGCGGAAGGCGAGGTGGTCATCTCATTGGTGAGGAGGTAAGCGGCATAGGCCGTCAAGCCGGAGCAGGCGGGAGCCAGGAGGACACAGATGTTGCGAATATCGACGGGGACGGACAGGAAGCGGAGGAGGTGGTAGAAGACACCGCTGGTGACCATGAGACCAGGGTACAGAGTACCACCGGTAACTCGACCCAGCGGGTGCCATGTTCGGTCATCGAACCAATCCCAGAAGTTGTAGAAACCGTTCGCAACGAGGTACTTGGTAGCTCGGAAGTTGAACCAAGGGTCGACTGTCTGATGTTAGTAGCTGATGCGGCTCTAGAGCGGGTGAAGCTGTCGTGAAGCTATTGGACATACACTCGTGGATGATACTCTCGAAACCTGATGACGTCTGGGTCAGCGAACTTGTTCTCGGCGGAAGGAAGGAATCAATTGAGGTCTCTGGAAGCTCTCGGCGACGAAGCAGAAGCTGCCTCGCAACCCGAGAGGCCCAGCAGACCATGAATTGATGGCATGGGCGACTTACGAATAACTGAGAAGAGACGGCTAGCTACAGCGGCAGCTGCGATCAGGGCGAGGATGACGACCCTCAGCAAGGTCTTTGTGCTCTTGTTCTGGCCCAGGCCAGCTAGGACCTGGAAGGGTGAAGGAGACTCCGTTGCGACCGCCATTGTCGCTGGACGTAGTCTGGATCTTCACACGAGGTTGTGTAGGTTTAGGGAGGTTTGGTGAGCATGAAACCTCGATACTTTTTTTTGGTGGTTTGCCGGAACTCTAAGGTACACGCAGGTGCGACGAGCAATCGAGAGGACAGCTAATCCGATTCTTGGCAATTTGAGAGCTGCCAGCAGCCAGCGCCGAGTGCTAGGCCCATTGGGACACTCCACGCGTCCTTCGTCGCAGGGGTGGCCAGGGGTCCCGCCTCGCTAGTGGAGAATGCAGCTTAGTTAGCACCGCCGGGTCCCTCCAAGCTGCATGTGGGGTTCTTCTGCCGTCAGTTTAGACAGCGGCAAGTACGGAATATTCGGTCACTATTCCCAAGATATCTGAATGGCAGTTATGAATTGTTACTGTTTGATTTTATTTATTTTGAACTGAAATTATTGCCATAAATTCTCTACACTTTTTCGGTTACAAGCGGTTGGAATGAGTGAGTATCACTGGACCTGCTCTCTTGAGCAGCAGAGTTGGTATTCGCATCCTGCTTGAAAGTTGGGAGTAATTTGAGACCGATCTCTATCAAAAGGAGAACATTTTCCTATGCCCATCTCATGGACCTGATTTGAACATTAAATTCAATAAATGTTGCTCATACTTGAGGCTCTGTATATACATCCACTTTTACAGTTCGTAGACCGTAAACTCTCACGACAAGACAGCATACAATCCAACACAACCAGCAGCAAAAGCAGCACCTCCACGGTACAAATTGTAAAGTGCCCAATTATCAATCAGCGCGTGCCCGCTATCCTCCCGGTTGATGCCGACCTCCTCGCCCAAGGTCAAGACATCGCCGACCGCCGGCCCGAGGGCCTGGACCTGCTGCTCCTTGTCGAGCAGCTTCTTGGCGACGGGCCAGATGACGGCGTACGTGTACGGCAGGACACTAGCCGCCAGGGCCGCGGCGGCGGCGTAGAGGCCACGCGATCGGCCCGGCAGCCTGTACGCCAGGTAGACGTTGAGCACGGCGGGCAGCGCGAAGCCCGGCGGCAGGGCCCGCGACGTGGCGCGGAACATGCGGGCCCACTGCCGCAGCATGAGCGGCGTCGGAAGCTCGAGCAGGCGCGGCGCGACGAAGAAGGAGAGGCCGAGGTTGAGGCCCGACGCCGTGGTCAGGACCGCGATGCTCGTCGCCTGCGTCAGGCGGATGTGGGGAGGCAGCTCGGCAGGCATGATGGTGGCGGCGGCGATCTCAAGGGACTACGAGTTTGGTTCAACGAATTTTCACAATATTCTCTTGCATTCACAGATCTTGCTCTCATCACAAATCATTCGAGAGAGATGGATTATTGGAAGATGGATAATAGTCGAGGTCGAGCCAACTCATGATAAAACTATCATGATGGGTAGCTGTCTCGGTGCCGAATCACATGAGTCGGGGTATGTGACGTAATCAGGATGTTGAACCTAGTGCCTATCTCCCATAGTTCAACATGCAACAAACGTTGAGATAGCAGAATGCACCCGATAGCTTGCAAGACATATATACAGAATTGCAGAATAATTTACAAGAAGGGCTCCGTGCATGCATGATTCGAACACAATCTAATTGAGCTGTCTTCGAGGAAATGCGTTCGAGAGATTTACCTTTCCAAGTTTGGCTACATCGGTTGGTCAGAGGACAGTTTATACACTGTAGATAAACAATGCGGAGCTACAGTTCCAATTTTGATGTGCCACAAACCAAGGAGATCTTCACTTTGTGGTCCTTGATATATATTTCGTTCACTTGTTTTACCGTACAACTTACCACATCTAACACATATTCTAACTACCAACCATCGAGAAGTACAGCCAAGGCAACAACAGGATTCTAACTGGCATTATACAAGAGGCCACTTTATCAAAAGTTCAGGTGATGGCCGCTTGTACATGGAGAGGACGTGCATGTTGGTACTCCCAGAAGACCTTTTTTATTTTGGACGATTCAATAAATAAATTTAAAATTCAGGGATCAAACAACTAGCAAGCCAGCAGGACTGACAAAAAGATCAGTACTCGAGTATAAACATAGGAAAATAAAAATGCAAAAATAAGCTAGAACAAAAGAAAGCAAATGTCGCTTCTGTGGATCGAACACAGTGCCTCCAGATAACAGGTCCTGAAGTTTGGAGCTTCAGTCTGGCGCTCTCCCAATTGAGCTAAAGCGACTATTCTTATTGGTTGAGAGAAAGTGTCTTTATTGACAATCAAGACACCGTGACAGTAAACTGTGGTCGTGGACGACAAGGTAGGTAGGGTTTGAGAAATTCTCGAAGGTCAAATTGTGGATATCTCGGCTGGCACTAGGTTTGTATCGTGTAATCCGGAGTTGTGCTCGTAGTTGCGCGGAGGGGGACGACTCCAGATAACTAGATATCTTATGCGAGGAGCCGTAGAAAACTGTTGATTTATAACGTCTTGGTTTGATCCCGAGTCCAATATTGCTTCAATTTGCATTGCGTTCATGATGATAGGCAAAGATCAGTGTAGATCAACAATTTATGTGGCTGTACGCTCAGCGCTGAGAGCAGGTGGGAGTTGGGGATTATGGTTAGAAACATTAATATATTATTATTTGACAATTTTCAATATGGTCGATAATCACGGAGAGCTGTTTTTCAAATATGAGCATCATTGAACACTGATGTATGATAACCAGATACCGAATAAAAGTGGCAGCTTAGGCCGAGCCAGCATGAACTATCTATCCTCATTGATAGTTGACTTATTTGTTGTACTACAGCTCGACTCGTTTACACAACAGGGAGTTAATTAGTAAATCCTCAACAAAGTGATTATAACCAGTGCACGCTGTCAAAATTTGGTGTTTCATTTCGCTTATCATTACTTTTTAAAATAACTGTCATCGCAGCACATATTCCTATCCAAAAGATTGCTTGCTTGCTTCTCTCGTGCGCACATAAAATCCCATGTACTTTTCCCTGCTCCTCATACTATTCCTCATCATGATCTCAGTGGCGTCCAAAGATGCCCTTCAGCCAGTCCCAGAGACCACCTAGAAATCCTACTGTTAGCTTCTTGTTAGTCATGACGGCACGGAGACGTGAACAAATCATGAAAAAAAGAAAATAGTCGAATGAAGTGAGGAGAAGGGCTCATCTCGAAATGGAAGAATGACATGATAAAGGGACTAACCTGAGGATGAAGAGTTGTTGTTGGTGCTAGTAGTGGTGGGAGCGGAAGCAGTGCTGGTGCTAGAGGCTCTGGCAGTAGTGGCGGTAGGAATCACGGTGGTGGTGCTGCTGCTAACAGCACGGGTAGTAGTAGAGGTGGTGACGCTGCTGAGCGTCGACGCGACAGAGGTAGTCTTGACGGAAGAGGCAGATGTAGTCTTGACAGAAGAAGCCGCACTGGTCTTGACGGAAGAGGCGGTGGTGGCAGCGGCAGAACTTACGCTCGAGATGACGCTGGTGCTCGAGTCCACGCGGTACCAGTTCTCGGCCGGGTCGCCGAGGCAGTCGCCCACGGTCACGGTCGTGAAGTTGAGCGACTGGATTTCCTTGAGCATGTACTCGGTCAGGTTGTAGACGGTCTGGTAGTGGATGTCGTGGGTGATGGACAGGGCGTCAAAGTTGGAGGGGGTGTGCCCGGCGAAGAACTGGTCGACAATGGTCTTGGACTTCTGGATCTCGTTGGGGTCGTCGTTCAGGTAATCCTGGGTGTCCAGGTCAAAGTAGACGATGTGATATCCCAGGTCGGCCAGGTCCGACTCGCAGCCACTCTCAGCAGTGCAGGACGAGTAGGGAGGGCGCATGTAGGTCGGGATGAAGCCCAGAATGTTGCGGAGGGCCATCTCGTTCTTGATCATCTCATTCTTGCGCTGAAGGGAGGTGATGTTGCTGAGATCGGGGTGAGACCAGGTGTGCGAGGCGATTTGGTGTCCGTCGGAGTGCTGGCGCTGGATCACGGTGGGCCATGCGAGACTCGTGTTGTCAATCTCTCCCTTTCCGTTGTTGTTGCCAGTGATGAAAAAGGTGGCTTTGGCGTTGTACTTGGCTAGAAGGTCGAGCAGGTCGTTGGTGTAGCCACTAGGACCATCATCGTACGTCAGAGCGACAGTACCTGCCTTCTCGCAGCTGTAGATACCAGCACCGCCATAAGCCACGCTGCCCAGCTTGGATCGGGTCAAGGTGGAAGTGTTGGTTCCCGAGGGGATCTTGTTGGCATCGCAAGCCGGTCCATAGTTGAACAAGCAGTCCGGGGCCTTGCAGTGATCAACCGTCGTGCCACAGTACCTAGTGAAGTTAGTCGGTGTCGCCCCCATGCTATTCTTCTCGGAATCCTACCCTTCAGCAGAGCAACACTCGGTCGAAGCACACACGGCATTGCCATTAGCGGGGCCACAGAGTCCACTTCCAGAGTCGCCAGAACCACCATCGTCGATACACGCGTCGCCAAAAGCAGACTGGCAGCCATTGCTGGAGTCACAGTAGTCGGTAGTGTTGCCGCAATAACCACTGTGTCCTGGTTAGTTGAGTCTAGTGATGATTTGCCTGTAAGGAACTCACTATTGCGAGCAGCACTGTGATATAGAATTAGCATAATGGGATGGAACAATGTACTTGTCAGAGAATGACTTACCATGCCGGTCGGGCATGTATACCCGGCCGTACCAGCTCCTGTGCTTCCACACGTCAAGTCAGGAGAGACTTCACGCAGCATTATAGGCAGTGAGGAGGCAGAGGCAACCGCAAGGTTGCTTGCCAAGGTTAAAGACATTAGAGTAAGACCACGCATGGTGAATAGTATAGTATAAAGCGAGCGAGTGTGTAGCAACGAGAGTATAACAGCCAGACTGAGCAAGACCTGTTGAGCGACAAGAGAGAAAGCGGCTCCTTTGCCTCGAGGCATCAATGGGTGTTTATAGATTCCCGAGACCGTGGTAGCGAACTGTGCGGTTGACAAGGATGCTGTGAAAACGTTCGGACGACGAACATCGATAACGTCAAAGGGTCTCCTAGTGAGTATTCATCTATATTCGAAGGGGCACTGTGGGATACAGTTGAGCACAGATGGAGTCTAACAAGACGGGTAAGGTCACCGAAGCACTACGGTCGAGGTATGCCATCATTATGGGCAAGAGCTGGCTTGAGCACTTGTCTCTCATTGGCCAGCAAGCAATATCGGAAAATCTAGAATTTTCGTCCCTTGCAGACCATCCTAGTTTCCGGTGTATATAACAGACGGAGGATGAGTCGAAACGTTGGTTAGTCAAAGAATACGAAGACCCACAGATCTCTTTGGGCTCAGATCTCGCCCGTCGAGTTAACCAACTAGTTAGCAAACTAAGTCACTTTGGGGGACCAAAGGCCAGTGCGGCAGTCGAAGAGACGGTAGAACACACAGATGCAGAAGAATCGAGGCCTGAAAATCCCAAACGCTGGTCGACGGTGGTGCAAGAGGAGGATCAGCACAGGAAAAAGCAAACGGCTGTTGCATCGACAGCAGGGCCCTTGTCCATGACCAGCTGCAGGCGTTGCATAGCTCAGACGAGCAGGAAGAGGCATTGGACGAATGAGCTTGTGGTGGACTCGTAACGTCGAGCCAAGAAGGCCAAGGCCAGCCGCAACTGTGCTGCTGCTGCGTTGTACATATGCGTCTTGTCGTGCAGATTATATTGACTGGCGAATACGACTCCTTGGACACGATGCCGGAGAAGCAACGACCTGCTGAGTAGTGATGTCAGGCGGGCATGTCGAAAAGCATGAAAGCCTCTCTCGGCTTATTCCCTGCTAAGGCCTTGCGAGGTGATCAGCTAATATCGGGCAGCCGCATCTCCAAGCATCTTTGATGTCGGCCGACGAAAACTGCATCTCGGTCCTCGGATATATCTGCAGCCACTTGGGGGTTGTGAAAGGTTCGTGCGTGGATCAACGGCCATGTGGGAGAAGCGTGGCTCGATATTGTGGTGTTGAGACAAGCTAAAATCATGGTCGTGGCGCTCAAGTTGGACGTTGACCTTGGCCGAGAAAAGCAAACATTCTAATTAGCGGAGCTGATGTCCAGTGCCGACTCCTTACCTCCGAATGAGGTATGCTGGGCGAATTGGCACGGTGGTCAGATATGACTGATGATATCAGATGACGACCAGACAGAAGAGAGGTAGTTGTGACTTGTATGTGTATAAGGTTGGCAGTATAGTGGAAAGTACATAGAGAGAGGCTCAAGAGAATCCCATACTAGGTACGGTACACTAGAGTTTCGATTGAGATCCGGGAGATCTACCTCCAGGAACGAACCGCGCACTGGTCGCGACCTGGCCAGACTAAACCCCCAGACCTCAAGTCTTCCAGTCTCAGGTGAGACGCGCGTGATGACCCGATTTTTCTGTTTGATGCTAATGGAAGGATGAGGAGAAGAAACAGCGACACAATTGCCAAGTTGCCAAGAGTCTAGTTGGGACGTGTGGCAGCGGTCCCCGAATAAAATAAAATGAGGCGCCCGTCCAGCGTCGCCAACAGATGCCAGAGCCTCTGATGGGTGGATGGGCCCCGGCCTCATTACTGCCTACATATCGTACACACTTTACAATCTCCTTCACCAAGAATGTCAGCAATATACGAACTTCACTTCCGGTTCGGAGCGAACCTGTTCCTGGGATTGCGGGAGATCGATAGTTGCTCTAATTATAGGTAGCGAGTCGATCGGAGTGTTGAGCCTAATGTAGCTGACGGGGAAGACTGGAGCTGGGGCTGAGGGCAACAAGGCTTCGCAAGGGTCCCGTCCTGGCTGTCAGCAATGGCAACATGATTGTGGTATGTTTGTTCCGCGTGCCGGAGGATGCAACCCACAAGGCTTGAAGGCCTTGCCATTACTATTTCTTCTCGTTGAGATCCACAAGCTCGTCTTTCCGAGAGACAATATCTGGCGTTCACTGTTGCCATCTCTCGTCGCAGTGGTTTGCGCAATGTGTTGCACGACCATTTGCATGGCCTGCCCTCTGGTGCTGACGCTTGTTACCTTGGGGGAGAGCGACGGCCCCGATACAGCGGCGGGGAGACACGCTCAGCCCGCGTTCGGTGAGAACGAAACTCTGTCTGGCCTGCGCAAGTAGGGAAACATCCTCCATGGGGCAATGTCGACCAATGTTTGCACAATTGACCGAGGTCAAGAACTTCTGCGCCTCAGAAAGTCGTCACGACAAGTCG